ATTTAGATTACCTACTCAGAGAGATCTTCTATAAGCTGACACCTGAATATGGAGGATGCAGCCATGAATAGCTGAGAGAAACCGGTGTTAGGCAGAGAAGCACATACCAAGGTCCTGAGGCAGGAACAAAGAATGGAAAGATAGCTCCTATAGCTGGAGTGGGAGAGATGGAGGAACACATGATCCAAATGGCACTGGACAGGTAGGCAGGGACTGAGATCACTGCACAGCATAGCAAGGAGTCTGTGCCTGATTCTAAAGACAGTGGCAGCCATTGGAGTTCTGGGTAGGGCCAGGACATGATCTATCTTATGTATTCAAGAGACTGTGTGGTAGGTGGATTTCACCAGGAAAACAACATATGTTGCACACAGCATCCAGCACACAATAGGTACTCAATGAACAAGGTATCCCCTACTACCCCCGAGGCCGCATCCACAAAGGCTGCTGAAATCCAAGGAGGGCTGTGAATTGTGCTCTTTTATCTTCCAAGTCCAGGCTCTCTCTGGCTCCACTGTCTGGACTCTGGAGGTCTAGCAGAGCCAACAGGCTAGACTTGGGGAGGAAACCCCCTTCGCTTGGTCAGGGAAGCAATCCAGGAGAGAGGATGGGAGGCATGGGGGACACAGGGTGTGGGAGCCTTCTGCTCCCAACATGCTTTTCAAACATTCATTTGCTTTTGCCTAGTCTCCTCCATAAGAGACATGCTTTCGGATGTGTTTTGAAAAATATTCCATATGCTAATGGAATGTCACCATCTGCCAAAGAAGGCAGAGCTGTTTTTAAAGGAAAAACTATTACAGAAATGAGGTATTCACAGAGGGGCACTAAAGAGCCCAAACGTCGCTGACCTGAGCCTGACCTGGCCGCCTGTGTTCCCAACTTGAGAAGGAGGTGAAAAAGTCTGAGGCCAATTAACTTTCCCCCCTCCCATCCTCCTCTCCCTCCCCTCCTCCCCTTTTTTACCCCTCCCCTTCTTGGAGACATGATGAAATTTCCTGAAACAAAACCTCGCAGCCCGTTCTATAAAATGCTTTTGCCTTGGTGGAAAAAGTCCCGATGGTCCCTTTTATCTCCTCATTCCTGAGGCGCAGACCTGGCCCCCGTCTGTTTGTGCAGATGGGCTGCAGGGAACGTTCCCAAGGCAGAGCGAGCAAGGCAGGGGCTGGGGAGAAACTCTGTTCCCGGGCGCCTGTTTGTTCTTGCGGCCAGAGCCCTGGCCCTTAGGAGAGCGCAGTGCCGTCTGAGAAGAAGTGTGGGGTGGGATTAGGTGTCCCGTGGTGTGATTAGTGGACAGGCATTGTTCCCCAGGAGGCGGGGAAGCTTGGAGGAAAGTGTCCGGAAAGAGGGCTCCTAAGTGCTGGGGCAAATCAACCCCTTTCCCTCAGCTAGGAGACTGGAGGCCCTTTGAGTCATTTGCTTACTCCAAGGGATTCCCACCCCAGGAGGCCACTGGTACCTCCGTCCCTCACCTGGCCTATCTTTTCCTAGCTCACTGCATGGCTAGCTCCTACTCATCACTGAGGTTGTGGCTCATATGTGGCATTCCTGCTCCAAACCCCTTCCCAGTGTTTTCTCCTCATGGCTCTTACTGCATCTTAATTTATCTTAATTCATGTGTTTGGGGGACACTGCAGCAATCACTGGGTATTAAATGCTGCTGAGATGTATGCTTCCCAAGGCCTGAGCCTGTGTACCATTTCCACTATGGTCCCACAGAGTGGTACGTAGAAGATGCACACTAACCTGAGGGCCCTTGGCACCACCTCCAACTCCCTCCACAGGGAAGTCCCATGACTCCTATCTCCTCAGTACCCCTTAGACCACCCTCTCACATCCTCTGGGTTCTGCCTTCCAGACCTCAAGCTCTCAACACTCACCTTCCAGCCCACTGTGTCCAGCACGAGACCCTAATTCTTCAGCACAGCTCACATGCCCTGCCCTCATACTGGTCAGCATCTGGCACTTCACACACATTTAGTAACAACTGAAGAACATGTGCTGGGGACACCCCTTGAGCGGCAGTTTCTGTGCCCCCTCCCTCACTCCGGTCTGGCAGGGAAGCCTTGGCCTGTCCCACTAGGGCCCCCTGGTGCCCCAACCTAGCCCGGCCCCGGTGGCAGCTGTTATTCCGTGGATGGGGGACCAACCGGTGAGGAAAAGGGTGCCAGGGGTGTGTGTGTGTGTGCGTGTGTGTGTGTGTGCGCGCAGAGGGACAGGAGAGAGCTGGGCAGACAGTCTTTTAGTGTAGAATGCCTGAGGCCTGGCACCTTGGGGGGACTCTGCTGGCCTTAGGGTGCCCAGAGAGCATGGAAAGGGGGATGCCAGGGCAGCCTATGCAGAGGTCAGCTACGGTCACCAAGACTGACCAGAAGCAAAGCTTCGCCCTGCTGCTCACTAGCAAGACAGACCTGACCCTCCATTTCTTCAACCATAGATGGACACAATACAAACTGTGCAGGGCTTCTATGAGGATTAGAGGGTGTGTAGAGCCCTTCCCACCAGGCCTAGCAGGAAGTGGTAATTGTTTTTCTTCTTGCTGTAGTCGGTGTTAACCACCCTCTTCCCCACCTCACTCACCACCCCAGCCCTACCAGCTGCACATACACTGAAGACTCGAGCTCTCCCCTCTCCACCATGGAGAAAATTATTTACTGAGGACAGTGGCACGTTTAGGTTTCATTCTCTTTCCAACAACCCTCCCTGGGGAAATGATAGGTTGACTATCTTTAAGGATGAATCACCCTTAACAACAAAATTAACCCAATTAGCTGAATGTAATACTATTTGCTCATCTGGCTCATCGCCCTCTCCTGAAGAACACCCTGGGATGAGGTGACAAACTTGGGTGCTCACTGTGGACTGTCAGCACTCTTCCCAGGAGGCAGCCCTTAGTCTCCTCCTGCTGGAGAGCAAGCTGACCTCAGGCCTAAAGCCTGCCTTGCTTTAATGTGAAGTCAACCTCAGCAACAAAGCTGGCAGCTTTTCTGAACACTCACCATGCAAGTGAAGACAACAGCCACCAGCTCTCGGTCCCTTCTTCCTTTTCACACTATTCTTTTTGAGTCACTACTCAACAACAAACATGTCACTCGATCACTCTATGTTGGTCACTTTGCCACAAGACATTATCATGTAATCCATCCCTTTTCTCCAGAACCTCTTTAGTTCTTCAAACTTGGACAGAATGCTTCAACAAGTCACTAATAAAAATGCTCAAAAATCACACTAGTTCAGAGATGGCAATCCAGTGCTACAGATTTGTTTTTAAATTAGTTGCCAATTTTGTAAGTTGGGCATTCATATTGTTGAGATTTCCAGCTGTCTTTAAACAATTAGATTTAGCATCACTGGGTGTGCATTCTTACAAGATCACCCATGTTGGGGTATGTACTGCCCAGGACTTGAACTAGTCAAACAGTGAAGCAAAGATCCAAACTGCCAGGCAGCTAAATTAGTAGAAGATTATCAGCCAGGTGGTCCACCTTCCTATCTACTTATTAAACAGAAAAAAACCAAAACAGGTAAAACGGCAAAGAACCACTTCAGTCTCTAATCAGGTATCCAAGGAGTTCTACAAAACCTAAGTCTCTATCATTATGGGATGCACTTGTGGTTGTGAATTTCTTGCAATAATACCTGACCTTTCAAGGAATAAAAAGGCTAGCATTTACACCAACTATGGAAGGAGAGGAAACAGAACTACCAAGGTTAGAAGCCAGTCCTACACTCAAGCTTCTACTCTCCCTATTCTGTGGCAATGAATGGGTACTGCCTCTGCTGTTCCTAATGATCCACCCAAATCACTGAGGAACAGCTTATGGTTAGCACTCCCAGGGACAGAAAGAACTGTGAGAAAGGAGTCACTATTGGAAAAGGCAAGAAACTTAAATCTCTACTCTCAATTGGAATGGACTATATAAATTACGGTCCATCCTTATAGCCAAATATTATACAGCCATTAACAAGAATGAGGTACAACTACCTTTACTGACATGTAATCATGTCCTTAAAAAATAGCAGATGGGAAAGCCCGGTGCAGTGCAGCCTGTGCAGCACACTGCTACTAACCTGAAAAGGATGGGGGCTGGGGTACAGCTTAGTAGCAGAGAATGTGCTCAGCATCAACAAGGTCCTAGGTTCTGTCTCCATTGTGGGTGCGTGTGCACACAAACACACAAAGGCGGGCAGGGTATATATGTATGCATATAAATATATCCTTTATACACAGTGTATCTGTTAAAGGATATGCAAGAAACTGGTCAAGAAATTGGAGAACAGGGGTAAAGAATTAATTTTACTTTTTATGACTTAACTATATGTATATGGTACATTTTTAAACCTTTTTCACAAGAAAAATGGAGACAATATCAAAGCACTCTAATTTTATCCAGAAAGTCTACATTACCAATATGGTGGACTAAAGAGGAAAAGCCAGCTACCACTTAGGCGGACTTCTGAGTAGAAGCAGATACTAACTGGTCCTTCTGCCTCAGTATTCAACCAGTGATGCAAGTACTTGCCAATGTGTGAAATGATAGTTTCATTTCAGATGCCTGCAACTCCATCTCTAACACTTCCATACCCTTCTTCAAGAGAATCCACTCACCTGAAGGCCACTTGGGACATCTAGGAGGCCATTTTCCTATCTTTCAAGTAACTCGTGAAGCAACTAAGTATGTATTGGGAAGCAGATTTGTGGAAGAGCTTTGAATTAGTTCCCAACTCCTGGGGTTAAAGTTTTCTTTCAGAAAAAGCCCCAAGACAAGGAATTATATCATCCTTTACACAGTTCTCACAGGCCAAAAGTACTTTACCTTCAACTTCACTTTACAAAGCAGATGGTTTTTAAAATCTATAAATTTTAATGGTATGTCACTAAATTCCTGATAATACATAACAGTTTCTTAACAGAACATCAGAGTATTGCAACACTTTATTAAGAGTATTGGCTTTGAATTAGTAGCTGAAGTAACAATTGCAAGAAGCCAGATTAGGTGTACTGCATAATACTCATACTTGATTTATTGACATTACTTAGCAATTTATTGGACAAAAGTCAAACTTTTGTTTTTTATTAAGCACATTCCACAGTACAAAGCTGTCATGAATAATATCTGTACAATTTAACAGTTTCAATAGCTGTTCAGACACAAATTTATTTCAAACAGATAATTGGCAAACATAATTAATTACAAGTTAGAATTAGACTATCCCAGTGCTTTAAAACATTAAGATAGTAGTAATTTACAGTTGCTTGATTATGGTTAGCAAAATAAAGTCCAGAGTATGGCTGGGAATTACTACTGTAATCCCAGAAAGTCAGAATTCCTTGGGTGCCAAAGTCCCCTGCGATAATTTAGTAGGCACAATTCAAAGGTTGTGTGCATATTCAAAGGCCATGGTTTCCCAAGGAACAAGAGGAACTTCTATATTAAACATGCAAAAACAAAAAAAAATCCATTCGTTCAGAAAAATCGCCTCTGGCCCTCCCCCCTTTCCCCTGGGCTTTCCTAGCCAGTTTGACATAAAAGCTGTAACATGAAGAGCAGTCAAAGTCAAGTCACTCTCACAACCACTGTCAAGCTTACAGCATCCACCTTATGAATGGAGGTTTAATTATTACACTTTTGAGACTCAACCTTGCAAAAACAGAAATTAGGAAGATGTCAGCAAGGATACATTTAAGAAAAATTAAAAAGGCAAAAGAAAAACTTAAAAGCAAAGCCAATTTAACAAACCACATACACACACATTGATCCCCACACCCTTCTCAATGCAAAGGACGGACAGAGCCCAGGGGCCTTTCCTAGGAATAGAGTGTGCTTCTTCTGGAAGAGGGTGTGTTCACAGGAGGTGGCTTATTGGTCCTTTAAAATGGGATTGACATTCCTTGATCTTTGGAAGCAATGGTGAGGAGCAAATCAAAACCTAATACTTAAGGAGGAAAAAGGAATGTTGACCAAATAGCAACATCCTTCCCATGCATGATCAAAGTAACAGTGCTATTCTAGGCTCAGGCTGCAGAGCACTTGAGAGCTTTGAGAGCCTGCAGGGGCCAGAGAACAGATAAGAGCAGAGCTGACTGGGATGGGACTCCTGGGCCTGGGCTTGGCCCCACTCAGGAGAGCCCTGCCCTTTACACGGCGACCCTCCAGAGCAGCCTGATCTGAGCTACAGGCTCCAGCACAACATTGGGCCCTGTAGTCCCTGACAGGGCCAGGCCAGGAACTCCAGAGGGGGAGGCCCTGTCTATAGGGCCATCTCATTCTTCTCTTCTCAGGGTTACTACTGCACAGAATGATGGCTTTTGACAAAGAAGCCGAATGAATACTATGGGAAGTGACCACTAGCACTCAGGAGTATTTATGAGGAAAATAACAACAAAAAATTTTAAGGTACCTCTCTATTGCATATCCTACACAACAAATAAAACATTTCTGTATTAATCTTTAGAAGTTAGATTTTAAAACAAGATTCCCATTAAAAACAACACACACACACACACAGTGACAGTGACAAAATAAAAACACCATATGAATACTGCAGGAAGGGTTCTAGGTCATCCACATCAACCCTGGTAACAGGTTCTTGAGCCCAGCCCATGGCTAAGTGCGAACACACTCTATATTAGTGTCTCAGGCACAGGGGGCCTGACTCCAGCAACCTTGAGGTTAAACTGTTATGTACATTATATCTACATGCGGATACAGTATTTTAAATTAGGAGGCAAGCACATGGATAAAGGTGTTACTCTACCAAATATCAGGAAATGGTTGGGAGCAGAGAACAGTTAATAAAAGAGCTATATTACCTGTGGAGAAATAATATAACTGGCTGATAGTTCTTTAAATTAAAAGAAACTAGTACAGAAAGAAAGTGTAATCCAAAAAATATTACTAAAACAATCCAGAGAGATTTTCCCATTGTCCACCATGTATATTCCTAATACAAGTCAAAATTCATAACGACTTGGACAGTCAAAAGGAGAATGCTAACTTCTGAAAGGAAAGCCCTGGACATTCTGGGTAGGTGTTTGGCACCCAAAATTTCACTGAAGAAGAATGTTGCTTCTGAATATCAGACCAAAGTGCAAAGCATTATAAATTAGAGGCCAAGTCTTCTCTTGATGGTCGATTTACTTCTGTAAAACAGACTGTTACGTCCCTTTATGTGAACAATTTACGTCTGAAGCATTAGATTTTTTTTTCTCGGATGCGGGTAGGAAGTGGGCTTCTGTTCTACTGGAAGTTGGTGAGGCTAAAGTATCCTTCTCAAAGTAGAGCCGGGACCAGAGGTGAGAAATGTCGAGTGAGGCTGCTTTGCATCTACCCAGCGTCTAGAACCAATTTCAGCTTCTTAACTCAGCTGTGGACGAACTCCCTTAGGCATTTGGTAGCCATGTAGCCAGTAGTTCAAGACTAGGAAACCCTAGGGGGAAAGGGGAGAGAGCATGGATGTTTATTCTTGTTAAACAAGGACACAATGTATATATATCACAGTCCAGCCCATCCACAAAGTCACATATCACAGAAATATGCACACCTAATAGGTGACTACTTCTTAAATAACCAGCATAAAAAAATAGAAGGTGTAAGTTGTTTTGAAGCACTACATTTATTTAAACCTCACAATAACCCTAAGAGGTAAAAATTATTAGTATGCTCATTTCAAAAGAGAACTTTGTTGTTGCAGCCGAGCAGCAGTAGACTACAAGTCCCAGGGTGCAACGGGTGGAGCTGCCTCCAGGCATGATGGCAAAAGTGGTCCCTTAGGTCCCAGCTTGCTATTTCTGGCTGGGTAGAAACTCTGAGAATCTTGGGAGTCATCCCTGCTGAAACTAAGGTGGCTAGCTTCTTTTTATTTACGACGGCACTGAAACATAGCAAGCGATCATTCCTGAGTCGTGAAACCTGTTGAAAGAAGGGGAAGGTGGAGCCACAGCGTGACCCGGAAGCAGAAGTGACTTTCCTAGGGGAAGCCGCAGTTCTGCTCGCAGCAGGAGTCGCACCAATTTATCAGCTTGCAGCCTCTACCAGGGAAGATGATGCTAATTAAAGTGAAGACACTGACAAGGAGATTGAAATTGACACTGAACCCACAGACAAGGTGGAGCGAATCAAGGAGCGAGTGGAGGAGAAAGAGGGAATCCCACCACAGCAACAGCGGCTCATCTACAGTGGCAAACAGATGAATGATGAGAAGACAGCAGCTGACTACAAGATTCTAGGTGGTTCTGTCCTCCACCTGGTGTTGGCACTGAGAGGAGGAGGTGGTCTTAGGCAATGATGAGTCTTCCCTCCACTTCAACTCCTTACCCTTTCACTCATAATGAAGCATATATTCTCTCACTGGCTGGGACACCCAAGCCATTGCTCTCTCTCTTGGCTGCCCAGTCTTGCGTGTCTACTGGTGGGAGACTGTGAGGACCCCAGGATGCAGTGCTCCTGCCCCAAAAGGCCTGCGCTGGCTACTGGGTTTTAGTTTGCAGTCCTGTGTGCTTCTCTCTCTTATGGCTGTGTCTCTGGTTGTCAATAAAATACTTCCTAGCCTCAAAAAAAAAAAAAGGTAAGAGAACTAAGGGCCAAAAAAGTTGTGTTTAATTCAAAGAGTTACCGATTAAGTGACAGGGATTCAAAGAGAGGAACCCAATAACCGGTCATCTTTCACTGGTGCTACTAAAAATATGTTTAATACTAGGTTTCATATTTAGTATAATCGTGATGATATTCAGGGCCTACAACAGGCCCACTGCACATCCTCAGGAGAGCCCTCAACTATCACTGTGGAACAAAAGCATGCAAAAGAAATAACTATCCCTTCTAAGTAAAATGTTAATACTGTAATCAGAAATTACTTTTTAAAATCAATCACTTGTAAAAGGACAACAGTGTTGAGAAGACAGGGAAAACTATGAAAAATTTTATATTTTACATATGGCCTTGATCAGAAATACATTTTAATCACAATCTCTACATTCATCCATGGATGTAAATATGTACACACATACACACACACACAGCTAAAATAGAACATTCAGCAGACAATGTCTATCATTACTATGAACAATACAAGCTGACATTTCTGATGTAAATCAAAACAAAGTCAAAATCCATTCCAATTATTTCACAATCACTGATGATTCACAACCTTTTCCAAACACTGAACTAAGCCATTAGCTGAGACAATCTAGTCACCACAGGTAAAAATTCCTATGGGGGGAAAAACTTAAAAATTGTGTATAGCCAGGTGTGGTGTTGCACATCTGTAATCCCAGCACTCAGGAGGCTGAGGCAGGAGGACTACCATGAGTTTGAAGCCAGCCTGGGCTACATACTGAGCTCAAGGCCAGCCTGATCTACACAGTGAAACCCTGTCTCAAGAAAAATTGATTTTTATTTACTTATTCGGGGTTGTTTGTTTTTTTGCTTTTTTGAGACAGGGTCTCACTGTGTAGTTTAGGCTGGCCTTGAACTCACTATGTAGCCCAGGCAGGCCTCAAACTCACAGTATTCTTCCTGCTTCAGCCTCCTGAGTGCTCGGATTATAGGTGTACATCACTACACCTTGCCTAAAATTCTGTATGATTTTTAAAAGGCAACTTTCCCAAAAGGTTGTCGTTTTCGAAAAGATCAAGAATCCTGACACACTTCCTCAATAAATTCAAGAAAGACTAAATTTCGTTCACCATTGCTTTCTCATTAAGGATATTTAAGATTACTTGGATGATCCTGAAAACACCAACAGCCCAGAGGTAAGAGCTGGGCACTCCCACTTCGGCAGGTGGGAGTGGATGGAGCTGACTAACTCTGCTGGAGAGCAGCACAGCCAGTGCACCAAGCTGTTGGGTGTGAGAAGGCCTTTTAACCCAGTTACTCAGACAGCTCCAGAATCCAGCCCAAAGGGGAGAAAGGGTGGGGTAAAGATTAGGCAAGATGGATGTCTTTTATAATCACTAAAAGCTAGGAAGAGGGAAACTATAAATATCTAACAACAGGGCTTATCCCAAACAACTGAAAAACATTTGGCAATTAGGAACTATAATTTAGACAAATATTGACATTGCTAACACGTAACAATTTTACAATAAAAAGGGAGGGAAAAGGCATTTTCAAAAAGTAGTTATAAACCACAATTTTAAAGAGGCTGGTTTGATACACACCAAAGGAGTTAATAGCGGTAAACCACGAGTAGGAGTTTACTTTTTCTCTTGGCTTATGTACTGTTCTAATTTCCTAAGCATCTTACAACAAGAGGAGAAAAAATTTTGTGCTACTATATATACAACTCTTAGGAGTTAGTAATTTTTTGTAAAAGATGACTCAGCAAATAAATCTATTACTACATTTCCTAACACAGAAATAATCTTACCTGATAATTTTAGGGGTGAATATTTTACTACAAGGTTAAATCATCATTAGGGAAGTGTTTCTTATTATGCATAAGTCTTAAATAATCACATGGTGATAACTGTTTTGTGTTTCAATCAAAGAAAAAAATTTGGAAAAGAACAATAAAATCTGTAAGGTTGACTGCCAAGGTTGTCAAAAGTAACTCACTTTGAAGAGACAAACACATTTGGGGTTTCACTGCTTGTGCTGGGGTACAGGAAATGATTACTTTATAAAGCACATAAGCTTTAAAGATTCATCAAGGTTGACTTGTAACTGTGGATCATAACAAGGTACTTGTTCTTAGGTTCCAAAAAAGGAGATGGGAGAAGCATCTGAAAGAAGTAACATAAATTTCATTTCTACCACAGCCAAGGAGAAGTAATAGTGCCGATCACTGCCTGACCCCTGACCAAAAGAACCTAGTTCCAGGGCACCTGTAGGTAATATGCAAATGTTGTCGATCTGTGAAAGTTTACTATGTCTATAAATTGCCTCTTAAGTATAACTGAAATGTGTGTGAATATCTCAGATATCACCATATGCCTTTTTAATAAACTGATATAAACACATTATACAAATACAAAAGAGGTGTATTAAACTGCTCTATGACACACCTACTTCCAAATCTATTTGTTTCAGAAGTCCAACCACAGCAAGGATTGTCCATGATCTACCTTATGTGCTTCTCTTATAATCTATGTTCTTATGTTCTATTTCTATTGTACGTAGAAAAATAAAAGCAGGGGCAAGATGTATCTGAAGCAAGGCACAGAGGGAAATGTATAGTTTTAAGTTCCCATTAGAAAAGAAAAAGTTAAAAGCAGAATCAATGTAATAGAGCAGGCCCAAGACTGCTACAAGAAAAACTGCAAAACAATGTTTTAAGTAAAGGTGAAGATGTAAATTAGAGATATACCTATGTTTATATATTGTAAGACTCAACATTTGTTGAGATACAAATTATCCCCAAAACGATCTTTAGATTCAAATATGGTCTTGATCATGATCAAAGCAGCCATCTTCTTAGAATATGATAACCTCATATAAAAAAAATAATAATTTAAAGACCTAAAATAATCAAGACAAATTTTTAAGAAGAGCAATCAAATTGTCCCATCACCAGTGGTTATAAGGGCTTAGAGCCCAGGACTTGCTTCTCAGGCTGCCTACTGAATTTCTTGTATAAAGGGGCTCAGGTGCCCTCTGAGCAAACAGCCTTCTTTAATTCATCCTTGAGGGAACAGCGGTGATAGGTGGATTGTGGTGGTCAGAAGAAGAGAGCTTTTGAGTGTTTTAGTGGTGATGGGATTATAGTTTTTGTTTCTTAACTTAAAAAAAAACAAAACTGAAGGACAGCAAAGGAAGAGAAAAAAGGAGATTCTTTATGCCCCAAAATAAAATTCAAGAGACTTTACTGGTGGTAAATTAATATGATTGGGGAAATTGTTCAAGAAAATATTTTTTAAAAAACAGGCACTGCATTCACCAGTGGTCAACATGTAAATCTACAATATCCAGGATTCCAATTTTAGGCCTTATATTGATGCGACTATATTGTGCTGCTATGAACATGGGTGCACATGTATCACTGTGGTATGATTCTTTTAATTCTTTTTTTTTTTTTGGTACCAGGGATCAAACTCGGGTCCTTCTGCTTGTGCAGC